TCGCGTCGGGGCGGTTCGCGGCGCGCCTCGGGGTCGTGCGATGTGCAGGCATTGGTGCTTGCATCTCGCAGGCATGTGCGCTTGCGTCCCGCCGTGGCGGACGGCGCGCGCGCTTTCGCCCCACCCTCCCGCTCCTGGGGGTACTTGCATCCCTGGCGCCCCGCGCGTCGGCTCAGACTGGCACCGCCAGGCTGGACGGCGCGGGGGGTGCCGCACCCCTTGTCAAGTGGGTGCGGGCACCCTCGGGTGCGGGAGGCTTCTGGCGCAGCTGAAATTTGTGTGTTTTCAAAGTTTTTCGCGGGGATGTACTGAAACCCGGTTGTTTTCGAGACCTTCTCTTCGCATAGACACTCACGAAAGAAAGTGTTCATGCAAATGCATGCACATATAGGGGGTTCCGCGCCGTGAGTCATTCTTCCGATGAGGGTGAAAGCCCTACGATCAATTATTGCGTCATCTGGTATGCCGCGACAAGGCTTCCGGTGAAGCGCAGCGTTGCGGAACGGGTGCATCATATAGTTTGCGCGCGTTGTCCTTTATGCGCCTGTTGATTCGAGTTCTCCGACATTTGGGCTGCAAATGCGCCGCCAAGTTCGAGCGCGATTGGACGTTATGCCACTGAACCTTTGCGGCCGTTTCCCTGATGCTGGCGATCTCGTTGGCCGTGGCGATTTGTGGCTGCAAATTGCACCTTCCATTCGGACCCACTATGATCCGGAACCTGTTAGAGCGCAGGGTTGTCGGCGTCTTCCCCCCACCCCTTTTTGTATTTATGTGCCTCATTGCCCACGAGAACAGGGCATGATCCATCGTTTTTGCCTCTTCGTCTTTCCTACTCTCAAGAGCCGTTATGGTTTTGGCATGTTCACGAAATGGCTTGTGAATGCCAGAACGAACGTTAACACTTCTCCACACCTGCAACCCCGCAGAGAAAACGCCAGGTGCGTTTTTGAACTGTTGCTTGTGCAGTGCGTTACCCGCGTAACAAACTTTCGTGCTTTCGCATCCTGGCTTCGATTTTGGTTTGCAAGGTGGACGGCGTCGCCCATGATACGACATCGGCGTCAAGAGGCATCGATCAGTTGAAGTTATTCGAAGCAATTTCGTGTTCCACTGCGAGTGCGATCTTGTTTACTTTGAGTATGCTCGTGCGTAATGTATTATACTCAGTTGTAAGGTGTCTCGGTTAGCTGCAATGTGACGGGTAGTGTGCTGCAGCGTATGTGTACGGGTGTACGTGTTCGCCGGCGATTTGATGCCACGGCCTCATACTGTTGTCGGGGTGTGTCACACGCCGAGGTGTCCTTTCGCGCGTGGTCTCAGTTGCCAGAGCCATTTGGCGGGGCACATCGCGATCAGGTCGCCATGTCCTGACGGCCTGGAGGCCGCGATGGGAGGAGGCACGAAGAGCAAAAGGTGGTGATGGAGCTGGAGGGAGGGGCACGAGTGAGAAGAGAGGGATGAGGTAAGGGGCTGGGCGCAAAGAAGAACGTCAGACGAGTGAGGTGGGAGCGAAACCATAATCCGTGTGATTGTGAGCTTAATTGGCTGCGTTCTCGTTTTTCCTTGCTCGGCTTTCTTTCTCATTCACCCATGCCATGGCCGCTCACGGTCCGATTCAATCCGATCCAACCTTCAAGCTTCGATTCTGAATTTGATTCAATCCGATCCGACAGGTGGAGGAGGTGCAGGAGGAGGAGGAGGAGGAGGAGGAGGAGGAGGAGGATGAGGAGGCAGCAGTGAAGGCACGCACATAGATGGAAGTGGGTATGCAGGAACGGAGTGAGTGAGGGTCGGCGGGCGGGAGTGGCGAACGATGTTGAGGATGAGGATGACGATGATGATAACGGGAACAATGATGAAGTGGTGCTGAATGCCTCACTACGGTGTCGCTGGGGCGGAGGAGGAGGAAAATGAGGAGGAAGAGGAGGAGGAAGAGGAGGAGGAGGAGGAGGAGGAGCAGGAAGATGAGGAGGAGGAGGAGGAGGACCGGAGGAAGAGGAGCAAGAGGATGAGGAGGAGCAGGAGGAGGAGGAGGAGGAGCAGGAGGAGGAACATGCGTATCGTTTTGACGGGGAGGCTGGTCCGAGGGTGCGGTTGAGGACGTGGAGGAGGAAGATGAAAGTGAGGTGGAAGAGGGGGGGGGCAGCTTTAAAGGCAGGAGGGCTGACGACCAGGTTGCAGGAGGGCTATGTACGGAAAAGCAGGAGAAGAAGCAGCAAAGGACCACCTAGCGAGGGGCAAAGAAGGATGATTCTGATGATGATGCTCATGATGATAATGACGGTGGTGGTGGTGATGATGATGGGTTGGGATGATGGGGATGCTGAGGATGGTGATGATGATGCTGATGATGATGACGATGCTAATAACCATGATGATGGTGATGATGATGACGATTATTATGATGATGATGATGCTGATGATGATGTGAATACAGGTGTGACGATGATGATATTTAAACTTATGATGGTGGTAACGATGATACTGATGATGATGA